TCAATATATATCAATATATATTCGTTATAAATTATGAATGTATATATCAAGTAGGATAAAGCCAATTATTCATTTTCGCTTAGTTTTAACATGAAGCTTCCTTAGGAATTTGTTCCAGCTCTAAGGATTTCTGCCATATGGCTGGTCGAAGTGTAAAAGAGGAAGGATGATGGATCAACTTAAACATTGTATTAGGGTAAAATAGCTGCAAAACATCAGGAATCACCTGTAGTCTTCTGCTGAGGTCGAATACAAATACAAAAATTAGACTTGGCGAGAGATAAGAGACTTCTTATATGATAATATTGATCAATAAATTTGGCATCAAGTGCTCTTGATAAATGTCTTATTCGTCCTATCCATGTTAGAAGATAAGACGAAGAGGATGCATATAAACGATTATACTATATTATACTATATATTATACTATATTATGTGTATATTCACTGAATGTACTAGTAGTTTGATAGTAACATCTATGGTGGTCTAAGTATATTACCCCAAGATATTCATGAGTCAATTATTACCCATGATAAAAAAACATATAATAATTATAAATATATTTGCAGATATTACTGGCATATCCATTTTATTGAGAAATACACTGGTTATCAAGCCTCTATATTTAAGAAAATAGAAAATAATTCAATTTGGTTATTTGAGTATGAAAAATAATTGATTGCAAATTTAAAATAACATTTAAACATAGAAAGCAAAATTAAAATAAAATAAAATAAAATAAATCTAAAAAATATGACTTTTTAATTTAATATTCAATAACTCTGAATTATCAAAAGTAGATTAAAATAGCAAAAATATATAAAACTAAATAAAAAAATAGTGAATAAGGCAGAAATATGTAAAAATCTATTTTTTATTAAATTTTAATGTAAAGATTACGTAAATTATGCTTGTTTTAATTTACCGCTATAACCTTGCGCACTTATAATTTTTTATCGTTTATGCTAATGTATTTAGTGATAATCGCGTTTATTGTTATACTAGTGTACTTAAAGTTAAAATGGCTTAAATACTACGGAAAAATAGTCCTTTGCATTTCTGCAACGTTTTTATATTCCTTTATATGCCTTCCGTTTATGTTTATAAGCGGTAGAAACAGCAGAAATTCTATGTAGGTTACTTTACTTTGAATTCTTTAAGTTTTATTAAAAATGGGCTTTATGTTATTTCCATTATTTTGGGTTTATATCCCATAACAGTGGGAAAGGACAATTTGACCCCAGACAAATCTTGTATTATTTTGCTAAATCATCAGAGCTTTATTGATGTTTTTGCATTAAAAGACATATGGCATGATAAATGCGTATTTATAGCAAAGGTTGAATTACTCTATGCTTTTCCTTTGGGACTGATTGCGTGGCTGTGTCGAACGATATTCATAAATCGCTCCGATCGAAATTCTTCAATTAAAGAGCTTCATAACGCTGCTTTTCTTGCCAAACAAGAGAATGTACTTTAATTTTTTGCATAAATTTTTAGCTTTCTATTGTTATTTTTCCCGAAGGTACAAGAAATGATTGTGGACGATTGCTAAATTTCAAAAAGGGAGCATTTCATTTAGCAATAGAGACTCAAGTTAATAAAATTTTAAAGGTTTACCAATAATAGTTGCCAATTCAACCCGTTGTGGTCGCGCCTTATCATAACTTTTTAAACCATAAGCTAAAAATATTTGAACCGGGTATGTTAAATTATTCTCTACCCTATATCTTCATCAATTATTATATTGCCCATAATGGATTCGATTGTATAAATTACTCTAAGGATTTTATCATACAAATAATAATTTGTTGTACAGAATAGGATTAAATTTACTAATAATAATTCATACCCTATTTATGCTAATTAAATTATGAGGAAATTGCTTAATATTATGGACGAAAACTCCTTGGTGATAAATCTGAATCGTGTCAAGATGTTTAAGGTATCTCCTGAGTTATGAGATCATGATTTATCTATAATAAAGTAAAGATGCAACTTATATTCTTTTAGTAGCTGAATAATAACGAACGTTTTAATTTTAAGTTAAATAAGCATCAGCCATGCGGATGCGTATCTATAATATCTGGCTAATCAACTTTGGTGTTCCATTTCGTCTATTCAAATTAAATTAGCTTTATTAGTTTACGCAAGCAAACTTTAAAAGACTTCCTTCATTTTAGAAAAAGACTTCTTATGCAGTCAGAATGCTTATTTTTAAGTAAATCGCTTTATATACATCTGATACAGTGCACTCATTTTAAATCAAATTATGCTTCTATTGTAAATTTGGCCAAGGGAATTTCTTGATTAGTCCTTTTATTGTTTAGATCTCCTTACATTAACTAGACTATTAAAACTATTTTACTAGTGCATAGTCAAAAAAAATGATATTTCATTTCTCTATGAAAAATAGAAAGACAACTCAAGAATTAGGTGTTAGTTTGCCTTTCCGCGTTATCAGTTAATTAGAAGGATGCTCTTTCTAGTCAAAAATAAAAACATTGCTGCGGAAAAATGTAAATAAAAATTTTATATTTCAAAATTAGCTTTAATACAAAACAATAATTTCAATAATCGAAGGTATGAAGACCAAGATAATGTGGCGTAATTTCTAGTCTCAGATAACTTTATTTGTATAATAAATGTTTGACCTTGTTTTCGCAACTAGGTTACGTGGCAAGAAGTTCTAGAAGAAGGCACTTTGTCCGGAGACCATAGTATGCATGATAATTTTCAGATTTGGACTGTGGACGTGGTACATTTCTAGACGTTTTGCCGGCATCGCATTTAGTATCGTCAGTGAGCCCTGTCATGCTTAGCACCACACTATAACTCAACAAAGAGACAAGTAAAGTCAATCCTAAACAGTTGTGATATCTCTTTTTCTGTCCCGGAGTATTCACCTGTCCTATATACTCGTATCACACCTTCAATATAATTATTTCTTACATCTCTATCTATACCTATTTGAAACCTATTCACACCCACTGCTGATTGCCACATCCTCAACCATTATGCCGGGGTAGCTGATTCAAGGATGCAGTTCAATCCGTAATCCTCTTTCTTAGGGTACTATCAGAGTCTCCTTTTGCTTAGTAGAATCCTCTCCTTATCTGCCTGTTTCAATGATTTCACTCTAACGTTGCCATTGTATCTTTGTTATTCAAGGCGTTATGTCCTACACTCTGCCTCAAGCCTTTAATAGCACTTATACGCCAGACTTACTGAACAAGCCCCTAAAGTTTGGATTTTTAATTTGTATGACAATATATCTTAACCCAGCAGATTCTACTTTTGCTGAAAATCTCGGATAAATACTCAGAAGAGTCCAAACGGGAGATGCAAATGAAATTAATCCCGAGAATCATGGCTCATCAACAGCCAATAAAAAAGTGTGAAATGATGAATATACATAGAAAATTACAAATGAATGGCTAAATAGTCCTTAAGGCGGATGGGTAAGGTGCAAAGGCGGTAAAGGACGGGCAGCAGTAAACGATTCCTAGGCGACCGGAACAAGTATCATACACTAAGAAAGGATGCAACAATGTAGATCAAAGGAATACTAAATGAAATGTTAATGGTAATGCATAATAACGAAGAAATCGACAGATGGACGATAAATACGTTAATAAAAATTAACGCAAGACCACTGACAGCCTACGGAATATCAAAGCTACACAAGAAAGGAAAAAAAACTAAAGTTAAAGGCCTGCAGCAAACGTGGAGCAAGACACATACTAGCGAAATTTATATGCTTGAAGCTTGAGAAAGTACACGACAGACTCCTGAACACAGTGAAGAATCTAAAGGATCCGAAAAATTGGACGCGTAAGGGAGTAAATGCTGATAACATTTGACGTACAATCCATGAACCCAAACATGTCACGCGAAAAGGTATTCACCGCCCTGCTGGAGGTCTTAAAACGATAAGAGGATATCCTGGAAGCACAGCGGATATGGAAGCAGTCGATAACACGACTAATCAAGCTGACAATGAGTACCACGTATTTTACATTCAGCGGCAATATTTGGACTAATGATGATAACTTTACTCTCACCTTTTTTAGAAAATGTATACATAGGCAGATTAATGAAGTCAACGCTTCAAGCAAGAGTGCTTATGCAATACCTGGACGACTACTTTGCACTTTGGTCGCATGGTAAGGAAAATTTGGATGAGTTCCTTAATTTTATAAAGAATTAAATTCACAAGGGAGGTGGAAGATGATAAATGACTACCCTTCCTGGATGTTGAGGTCAATCGCTCTAACGGAATATTCGATAGGAGACTATTCAGAAAAAAATAATATGCGGGAATAATCCTCAATTTCTAGTCTCATCACAACTACAGAATAAATATCGGAATATTAAGGAGTATGATGATCTGAAGTTTAAGACCAACTGACACTGATCTCTTGAACGAGGAACTGAGAACCTGACTCGGATTTTCCTTAGTAACGGGTACCCCAGATAATTCGTAGAAATAAATAAAGGGTCTATAAAGAGAAGATTTAAAATATGATTTAATAAAAATAAAATCGGGAATCGGGAGGAAGACCAAAAGTGTATATGCCTGCCCTGCTTTGAGTCGAGCCAAAATTGCGATTTTTTTAAGAAAATGGAATAAAAACGCTAGCTGCATTTCGCGAAAACACAAAAAAACGCATGATACTATAAACCCTCGATATAGTGTTGGGAAGAAATCCAAAGAAAAGGAGACTTGAATATGGCAGGATTAGCAAAAACTTTATATACTGTCTAAGCCAACTCGAGGAGGATCAGGAAACATCAGTATTACCGCAAAGAAAGAGACTGGACAAAGGTAATACTTTTAATTTCAGGAAAATTGTAATTATGAGGAGACCAGAAAGGAATTATCGGAAACCAAGAGGCCACAGCCACAGTGAGCCTTATCAAATCAATTAGAACGATCACATTTGAGGAACGGCACGCAAGAGATTTGAGTATAAGAAAGTCACAGATTTGGCATTATGGAATGAAGAGCGAGGGATGAGGCAATTGTTAGTTGGCTATTAGTAGATAAATTTAATGATAGACGTGGTCCATGAAGTAATGGCTTTACCACGAGATTACCTCGGTGCACATTTTGCACCGCAATAATGGAATCTGCAGCGTCATGATAGGTTGCTGGGCTAATTAAGATTTCAGACTTTATGGGCTTGCTCAGTAAGGCTGGCGTATAAGTGCTATCAAAGGCTTAAGACAGAGTGTAGAACATGACGCCTTGAGTAACATGGATACAGTGGCAGCGATAGAGTGAAATCACTGAAACAGGCAGATAAGGAAAGGATCCTACAAAGCAAAGGGGAGACTCCTATAGTACCCGAAACGAGAGGATTGCGGTTTGAACCGCAGCCTTGGATCAGCACTTCAGACACAGTAGGGAAGTGTTGGAACCAGTGGGAAATGTGAATAGGTTTATATAAAGAAGTAAGAAATGGTGATATTGAAGGAATGATATGAGGATATAGGATAGGCAAATACTCCAGTACAGCAGTAGACATACCACAACTGTTTAGCAGGCAATCGGTCAAAGGATCGACTTCACCTGTTGCTTTAACGAGATTTAGTGTGGTGCTAAGCCTGGTTAGGTTGACTTGTGATGTCAATTACTATGCAGGTGAAGCATCTGAGAATGCACCAAGTCCAAACTCTGACTATAGAAATTATCATGCATACTATGGATTCCGGACAAGTTGCGTTCCTTTAGCACTTCCTGCCAATAGGACTAAGTTATGAAAATAAGATAAAATAATTATAATACTTTCTTGGTTCTATTAAGTTAAATTAATATGACACATGCCCTTTGCATTTATTTTAAACATTTACTTATTTTGCATCAAGTATCTGATATATTTCTGTAGTTTATGATTTTCAGTTTTTGCATACCATCAATATAATATTATTTATCAATATTATTGCCTATGCCATTATATTTCTAAAATAATAATGATACG